TTACTTCGCTCCTTTGGGAGCACTTTGGTTTTCAGTACGTCAGCTGCTGCGCAGCCAGAGTCCTTGGCCGAGACAGAGCTGCAGCGGCAAAATAAATAAATAAACGCTCAGAGACCTCCTGAAGTCCCGGACAAGCACTGCTTCTGCAACCGTCCCGAAGAGAGTTTGAGCCGAGCTGGAGCTCACTCGCTACCTGCAGGAGGAATACATCCACCCTAAAGAAACCCCCCTGACATGGTGGAGCAACAACCGGGAGAGATTCCCTTTGCTCGCCAGTTGCACGCAAGTACGTGTGTGTAAAGCCTGATTTAAGCTTGGTTTATGCTTGACGCATTCACTTTCCGCGCGGTGATGCGGCTCGCGGATGGAACGCGCTTCACAACTCGCAGCTTTTAGTGCAACGAGCGCACCATCCGAGAGGGATTTCAGTGTTGCTGCAAATGTTGCCACCCCTCTCAGATCCTCTCTCAAACCGTATATGGTTAACATGCTGGTTTTGCTTGTGGGCAACAAGGACGTGACCGAGCTATAAAGCACCGTCATTCGTGTGTGTGAAAGTGAAATGATAGTGCCCCGCGCCCAGCACATGTAATTTTTTATGCTTGATTTCAAACAACTAAACAAAATGGGGACTTGTTTCTTATTTGTTAGATGCTGCAGCCAAATTTGCATTTAAAAGTTTAACCTTCTCCTGAATTTTGTTGTTTTTAAGTTCAGTCGGACTCCGACTGTCGGAGAAACAAACGTTACTGCGATCTGTGTTGTTACTGCCCTTTGATCTGCATTCAGTAAAGTGTTATAAAAGAAGGCACGGTAATTTTTAATCTTTTTTAAATGTGTAAACATTATGTTTAGATAGTACTGCAATAAAAAGAAAATGCTGCAATAATATCGCACACGGCAATATTAAGCCACCCTGAATCACCGCAGGGGGAATTCCTCAACCGCGACAGCCCTAACGCAATGTTTGATAAATGAGACCCCAGCGCTGCACAACCCTAGTGACGATGAAGTGGTTAATATAATGAAGGGATGGATGGGGGAATAACAAGTTGAGTCATAAACGATCTACTTTCGGCACTCCTACGATGCTCTGGAGGCCGTCTTTTAGACTTTATTTCTTGCTGGAGCTCCAGCTTCTGATTTCCTCTTCAGACCTTTCAGCTGACTCTGAAAACACGTGAAGCCTACGATGAAGCAAGCTAAGGTGGATGACGATACTTTCTTTCCATTTTAATAAAAATATATGCAAAGCCCACTTTAAAAATATCTCCCTGTGAACTCTGAACACCTACATCCACAAACTTATCTGTTATCAGTAGCAACGAGTCCAACACTTGAACTGTTGTTCCCACGCAGTTCAGCAGCACATGCCAACTCTGTTTATGTTTAGACCAGCAGAGGAGGACGTATATAAGCAAATAGCTACTTACGATTAAGCTTCTTCTATGTAGCTGATAAAAAAGATGAAGATATTTGTTTTTTTAGCCAATCAGATTTCGAAGAATTTACCACCTCCAGGCTAATTTGCAAATGCACAGACCCCAAGCTGTGGGAGCAAGTGAAAAAAAGGAATGTCAGGCAGATAATTCACCAAGGATTCTGATGAACATCCTACACAAGCACCAGCGCCTTGCACAATCACCTGAACCGAATGCATGAGTGAATAAAGACTAAGTTGGGAACGACTTGAAAGGATCAGAATGGGAAAGGATACGAGGAAAAGCCTTTTGTGCCACAAGTGAAAGAACTGGTGACTGATCAGGTGGTTCGCTGGCCTCCTGTTTTAACAACCTCAGCCAAATCCAGCCAGGCATGAGCAGAAAATTAACATGCAGCAGCTTTCACACACACTTGCCTACAGTGTGCACAAAATCAAGTCAAAAACCTTCCAAAGATTCAAATTGATTTAATGAGACACAACTGGGGATGGATAAAAAGCCAAATACAAACAATGTGCATAAACACAGAGTTTATTATCAGCCAGAAGATTTGATTGTGCAACTTATGATCAAATAAATGAGATTTCTGAGATATTTAACACCCTATTGATCTCATCTAAAGCATGCTTTTACCGTGTTTCTTGCATGCAATGATACAGTTCTACTTAACTATTAGAGTTCTTGTTGCCATGGAACGTTAGCATGGACTGCTTCATTTCACATTCATAATTTACAGGGTAATAGCCAAGTTAATGTTTCGTCATGGATAGGCGCCTCTGTGAGTAACAAAAGGACATCAGTCCTCCCTTCTTTCCTCTCCAAGTCCCCGGCCTATCTTCCACAACACCTCGTCTCCAATCTCTGCTTCCTGCCCACACAGGATCCAACCGGACCCGAAGGAAATCCTTCCTCAACTAAAAGCACAGCAAAAATCTGAAAATTTTAAGGACACCAGCATGCAGGCCCTATGAGCAGGACAAACATGTCCGCCTTATCTCCAGCTGCACATGAGGGGAAGAAAAACACAAGAGGACCCACAGAGCTCCATGCTGACCTTCACCTTGTTGGAACGAGTCTGAAAAATGACTGCATGCATCGGATTTTTATTTTAGTGTCACTTCAGCACTGAAACAACACGTAGTAAAACATGTGTGTCACTGTCAAGCCGATGCACAGGGAACTGATAAAACAGATGGGTGTGTTGCTACGTAAAGGCCACAATATGTGCATGACTTGAAAAGCAACTTCATGCCAATCGGTAAGTTGCAGGTTCGATCCTCGCTCAGTCTGTTGCAGTTGTTGTGTCTTTGGGCAAGACACTTAACCCACTTTACCTGCTGGTGGTGGTCTGAGGGACCGGTGGTGCCAGAGCTCAGCAGCCTTGCCTCATTCAGGGCAGCTGTAGCTACACTGCAGCTCACCACCACCAGTGTGTGTGTGTGCATGAGTGGATTACTGGTTGTGATGTAAAGCACCTTGGGGGGTTCTACGACTCTGGAAGGCGCCATATCAAATACAGGACATAATAAATGATAAATGACCCGCACTTGTATAGCGCCTCTCAGAGTAAGGACTCCAAAGCGCTTTACACTACAGTGTATCATTCATCCATTCACACACTCATTCACACACTGATGGTGATGAGCTACGATGTAGCCACAGCTGCCCTGGGGCGCACTGACAGAGGCGAGGAGTTTAGGCTGGACTTTAGATGAAAATATACATTGTGTTCTTGCCCTTAGAGGAGATTCACTGCTGGTACTGGCGTACACAATTCCTATTGACTGGTTTGTCTGGTTTGAGCCACAGAGCCCACTGACCTCAATCTGTCTGTGAGAATAACAACCAAGTACAGAGAGCATGCTATAGCAGCACAATACTATCAGAATTATGACAGATGTTGAATACTAACCGTATTTTAGTATGATGCCATCATAACTCACCTGTAGTTATGGTTATTTTTGTTTGTTTTGCAAATTTGAACTGTTTTCCACATAAAAACCATCTACTTTTAGCTCAAACTATGTTAAAAGACATGCTGAAGAGCATGCGCACAGGAAGGATGCTGACAGCATATTACCAGAATAAACAGCAATATCTTGCCTGCTCGTATGCACTCAAATGTTTCTCACAGCAGCTAATCTGTATAAGAAGTAATAAAATAAAACAATAGAACCGTGTATTTTTAGTTTGCTGCCAGCTGAAATTATGTAAGTATGTTATGTTTACATTTTACTCAGAATGAAAAATATATCATTGATTGCAATCAACACTTAGAATTGGAGGTAGAACAATATATCGGTGAGCCAATATATCAGGCCGATATTTACAGTTTTTTAGAGATCGGCATCGGCCAATATTTGTACTTAGTAAAGCCGATTTAAAGTCAGGCACATCCACGGGGAGCTGGGTGCTGCTGCAGAATTTAATTTAAATATTTATTTTACATTCAATAATAAAATCTGTATGATTATTACTCTAAATTTACTTTATTTTGGTGTCTGACTTTAAAACTGAGCAGTGCACAGAGTTGAGATTGAACAGTTTGTTAAATTCAGAGTTCCAAAACTGATTCAGCTTCAGAAATTTTGTGCATCAACTGATGTCGTTATTGAAATATTAGCATGAAAATATGTAGGAAAATGTCAAGATATCTGCCATGAAAATCAGCCCATAAAAATCGGCAGTACATATCAGCCATCGGCTAGCTATGTCTCCTACATATCGGCATTGGTATCGACAATAGAAAACCCAACATTGGTCGACCTTTACGTAGATTTGCTCTGTTTTTGTAACCTGAAACACGTGTTCTGACATAAATATTTAGCATTTTGGCCCTCGTGCCAAAAACTATATAAATTCAGATTATTATAGGTAATTTAATCAGAGTGTAAAAAGATCCAAATGTGTGTAACACAAATCAATACAAATGAGTCTCCCTTTTAATAAAACTATTAGCTCTTTAAAAGTTTACAGCTAGTTTTATGACCATCATGAAAACACTTCCTTGTCCAATGAAAGAAACAAAGGACTCTAACAATATGGCACAATGACATGTTAAATTATGTAATAATAACCTCAACCAAGCCTGTTTAATAAAGCGTTGCTCTCACTTCTGTCTGGTCAATTAAACCAGTCTCTTCTGATTCTATAATTAATGTGCATTACTACGTTTTAAAATAGGCACAATGAAAGAAAGGACAACAAAAGGCTGTGGTGGACATGTGTCTCAGCAGCAGCTCAGATGCACTGCAACATCTGTTAGCAGGCTAGTTAGCAGCTAGGGAGCTAGCTTACGCTAGCTGCTGCTCTCCATCATACTGAGTCACTTGTCTGATGTAACCTTATTAAATGAACGATAACGGCAAAACTGTTGAGAGGTAAGCCATTCACAGGAGGGCGCTTGTTACGTGTCAACCATTCAGAATTAGCCGGAGCAGCGGCTGTCTGACAGCTAGCCTGACGCGCTGTTTGAGTTTAGCTGTGAGGTGGTTAGCTCCTGAAGCTAACAGCCTCGACGGTGCAGCAGCATCCACAGCCCGGTGACATTCCACTCACCTATCAGTGCTCGAAGGTGTTTGAGCCGGGTCAGAACATCCTTCTTTGGGTCCAGAACTTTCTGTGTAGATTTCTTGACGTCGCCATGCCCCCTTCGAGTGAACATTCCGCTTTAAAATGCAGCCGTGGAAGCAGAAATCACCTGGGTTTCACCATGTACACAGAGCCTTCAATGTGACAGTCACGATCCACACCACCACTCGGTAAACATTCGCCCCACGGCCACTGGTGAGCCCAGTATATTTTTTTTAGTGGGTGTGTAAATACGGAAGCACAGCCTGACATCAGACACTGGATGGATACGCCTATTTGTTTACCACAGTTCCACCTTGTACTGTCAGGGTTGGGCTTTTTTGGATCCGTTTTCAAAATAACACACAGTTTATATTCTGTAGTTTTATAAAAAACAGACCAATTGTGCAAATAATGCTCACGTCTGGTTCGTAAGGATAATTAAATAAAATATTACCTCGCAGATTGTTCCTTTTAAAGTACTTAATAAAAATAAATAAGCAAGTTCTTACTTCCACTATGAAAGCATGACTAAAGTCTGTCTCTTTGGAAGAATTTTAGTAAATTAAATACAAAAAAAAATCAGTCTGTGTTTAAGCTCACACGCGCCCCCTGGTGTTTTCATGTGTTTGTGCAGTTGCTGTGTTTTTTTAGCCCCATAGAACAATAAATAAATAAATAAATAAACATTATTTCAACAAAAAAGCAACTACAAACACATTTTTAAAACTAAATACTAATTCAGTATGTATAGTAAACAATTTCCTATCTGATGTATGCTATATTTTCAAAAAGTCCATAAGTTATAATAGTTCTATGGTCTATACCAGGGGTGTCCAATCCTGGTCTTGGAGGGCCGGTGTCCTGCATGTTTTAGTTTGAACTCTGTTTCATCACACCTGATTTCAATCAGCAGCTAATTAACAGGCTTCTGCAGAGCCGGATGAGCTGCTGCACAGGTGTTTCAACCACTGAATCAAGTCTGTTGGAGTAGAAAAACCACAAAACCTGCTGGATACTGGCCTTCCAGGACCAGGACTGGACACCCCTGGTCTATACAAAACAGGTGTGTGAAGGTCGTTGCACAGAATTGCTCTCACAAAAGCGATTCCAGCTATTTTATTGTTGACATTTTCAGTACTTTTCAGAATGAGCCATTTCAGTAGCCTGGCCTGCCAGACTCCTCCTCTGTTTAATTCTGCACAGAGAAAGAGTCTCCTATTCAAATAACCACACCCCGTGAGAATTCTAACCGAGCCAATCAGCGCTGAGTAGCGTACGTCACACACCACAACGCCGAGTTTGTCAAAAACATGGTGATTGAAGTGGAGTTTGTTGTGGCTCTTTCCTTTGTTCTGAATGATTTGAACATGTCTTTAAAAACACAAGTAGAAGCGCTAAAAGCCTTTTTTCTAAGCAAAGATGTTTGCGCTGTCGCCAGACTCCATTTTTACTACAGCTAAAAAAAACTACTGCGTCGCGGACGTCACACACAGCAGGCACTCGGTTTCTCATAAACAACGAAGACAGTGGCGGAGTTTGCTGCGACTCTTTCCTCTGTTCTATATGACTCAGATGGATTTAAAACCACAAGCAGAAGCGCTAAAAGCATTTCTTCTAAAAAAATTAAAGATGTTTGCGCCGTTGCCAGATGCTATTTTTTTACTACAACTAGAAATCTACCGCATTGTGCGGTACAGTCGGGATTTCCGTCTTTTTTCTGATTGGTCATTTTTGAGCTGCCTAGTCCCGCCCCTCAAGTGCCTCTCTGCCTTTGAGTTACCAGACTAGTTCTCTGTGCAGAATTAAACAGAGGACGAGTCTGGCAGGCCAGGCTACCATTTCAGGACTCTGGTACTTTAATCAAACACAATGGAGTTGACCCCCCACCCCCCCACCCCCCACTCAGACTGCTACAGGCTGAGTAACTCAGATATGTGGGAGGGGCTTGAAGTAAAGCTGCTGCTCTCACAGACGTCATATACGTAGTTGCAACATGGACTGGCGCTGCTATTGGAGCTGGCATAGCAGCGGGCCGCCATCTTGTCTGTGTCTCCTTTCACCCCCAGTACATTCATTTCTCCTGAGAAAGATATTTACCCAACTAAAAACACATTTTTCAAGCTTTTTTTGAAAAATCACACACATAGTATGGCATGATAGTTAAAATATAGTCTACGTATAATAAAATAAGATGAATAAAAATATAAAATCCTTGAAGGTAGGCTAGAATAGTCAACTGTAATCCCACAAACTCTGTTTTTAATGCAACCGTTGGCTGTACAAAAAGCGGGCATAGTTGTTCTCTCTGTTTAGACCTTAGACTAGTGTTTAGCTAGTGAGGGACCCATCCAATATAGTGGCGACGCAGTTACTCTCTCCAGCGCCCAATGGCACATCTACGTATTCATGTTATGGCTGCTCTTGCACTTGAGAGGTGGTTCTATTCTAACTTCCCCTGAGTGTGACGCCACAAACTGGGCCTTTTAAAAATGATTTTATATGCATATATGTGTTCGATTTTGGAGAGGCAGTGGAGCTCCACAAGGCAGCACAAAAAGACACAAAAGTCTAGTTTGTCCCTTCCAAAGTTGGTAGACAACATAGACCCGTATGCAAACTGCTCAAGGTATGTAAGAATTAATAAATAATTATTAACCCAGAAACTAATGCAAACACTGTCGCATGCAAGCTTTAGTAGTAAATGATTGTTTTAATACAGATTATGGGGATTTTATTGAAAATGCTCTAATCTGGACCGTATAGATGGCTGCACTGCAGTTTATAATGATTGAACACCAAACAAATTCTAATATTTTGTAACAACAAAATGATGCTGTTGTTGTGTCAGCATTTTTCTAGGTGTAGATTTGGTGACTGAGACTTATTCTTTATTGTTGCTGAAGTTTAAAGTAATAAATGGGTAGAAACACAAATTCTGTTGTCAATCTGAACAATGACTGAATCCCATTAAAGCAGACAAATGGCGATGTGTGTGTGTGTGTGTGTGTGTGTGTGTGTGTGTGTGTGTGTGTGTGTGTGTGTGTGTGTGTGTGTGTGTGTGTGTGTGTGTGTGTGTGTGTGTTGCAGCAGTATGACGGCATCAGTTTTCTTCTAAGGCGATCTAGAGACAAGTGTCATCTATTTGCCCAGAGGAATGCACTAATTATTATTATAAAAGCTGATTAATAAACTAAGGAATTAACTTTTATTTTGAAGACATGCAGTGTTTTTTTTTTTAATTTTTTGTAATCTTATTTTCTACAGTGTTATAAAGTTTATGTAAAAGTTTTTCAGGTAGAATCACTTCACACTTTACTCTGGAAATTTAAAAGAGGATTTTAAAGAAGAATTTAAAAGTAAAGATATTAGTTGTTGTTTTTTTTTACTTTCTATAATTACTATTTAGGAAGTTTAAACAACACAATGTGCTCTGAACATTTAAACAAAGAACAAACATGTATTTAAAATGAGAAAAAAGTTCAGGAATAGAAACTCAAGGTTGAAAAAGTTTGTTAATAATCAGTTTAAGAAAAATAAATGCTTTTATTTTGTAAACACATTATTTAATTTTATGATTTTTTTAAATAATGTTATACTTTCTAATAAAAAATAACAGGAAATCTAAAAAAATCAATACAGATGAATGAAAGCATTATTTTTCTTTTTGAATGCAGAACAATAGAAAAAGATTAAATATTAATCATTCAGATAGATGTTGTAATTAACTGTTGGTTTATTAATTTAGTTGCTTTTTTACTAATTCTGTTAAGAATGCACTTTTATTTATCTAAAGATACGTTTATTTATAAATATATGTATAAATAAATAAATATATTTATATTTTAAGATATGCATACATTTAGAGAAATATTTATGTATCAATACTTTCTTGAACAAATACGGCGTGTTTTAAATGTTCAGCATGTTTGTGTGAGGATTTAAACTGAAAGAATTCTTTCTCATAATGTTCCATATTTTTATTTAAATAGTTTATATTATTTATACAAACATTCATATTATTTGTGTTATTTGCTGAAAGATGAAGGACATTTTATTGTTATAAACTTACTTCCTGTTCTGTTTTTGTATACATGACGTTTTTACAAGGATTCTCAAACTCCTCCTCCAGCAATTAGATTTGCTATTTTTCCTGTTTTTTCTTTAAAAGAAAAAAATAAAAGGATTAAAAAAAAAGATTTTATTTGTTATTTGATATTTAAGTTTTGTAAAATCACCAGCAGGTGGTGTCCTAACCATTGGTGTGGTGAGGGGAAGCAAAAACAAAAAACAAAAAAAAAAAAACAAAAAAAAAAAAAAAAACAAACACAAAAAAAAACCAACCTTATTATAACCAAAACTATAGATAATCTTTTATTTTTAGATGTCCAGAACGGACCTAAAAATATAACACACTCTCTATGAAAATATACAAAATTGTGGATTAAACTTTAAAGGATTATTTGAATAAACAATTTTAATGTGTTTAGCAAGTTTAATAGGAAAATAAAAACCCTCACATGAAAATTAGTAAACAGCTGTAGGAGGGATGGAGCTCCCTTTCATCTCACACCCCCACATATTCAGCACAGACACGTTTGTCCTCCATTTTCACGATTCTCCACAATGAATGTCTTGAATGGTACAGAGAGAACAGAGGCACGTGAGAGTGGAGGTCGAAGAGGAGGAGTAAAAACGGAGAGAAAGAAAGAGAGTGAGAGATGCAAAATCAGCCTTTGCCCTGCAGTTTGGTATGACACTCATTATCTGAAGTAGGCCATTCGGAGAAAAGAGGAGGTTGCCTGTCACAACAGATGTTGATTACACAAAACACACACACACACACACACACACACACACACACTGGGTTATTGCTGGTGCTTTGTCATCAGTCTTAATTGATCCTAATCATCATCCCTTCCTGGCAAACCTACCATATTCTTGAGGTGGAAGTTGCTGCTAATTATCTGAAATGGCACGAACCACCAATAATCTGTCAAAAGTAACTGTTGCACTGGATGTTTTCTCTCATCTGCACCTGCAAACAGTTCAGTCTAGCTCGTTTTAATCCTAATACGCTGTAGTTTCTCCACTGCAACCATGAAGCCTGCTGTGGAACCTTACAAGTGCATAATTGAGGCGGTGGTGACAAATTAAACGTTGTTTATGTTAAAACCACATTTTTTGTTGTTTTTAATCCTCCTGTCGGTCCAGCAGGGAAACGAGAGGCCTGCTGCAACCAAATGGTGGCGCTGTAGGCTCACAAATGCCGACCTC